CGAAGCTACACTTTTCCAATTTGCAGTACAATCCATGTTGTAACAGTTTGCGCAGTACCCTTCTGACTTGTCTGTGGTGAGTCTCAATCTCTCTAGAGTGTATTAGTATATCATCCAAATATACTATAACGCATTCATGCTGAAATTCCCTAAGAACCTCATTAATAAGGTCCTGGAATACTGCAGGTGCATTGCAAAGCCCGAAGGGCATTACCGTGTATTCATAGTGGCCATAACGGGTATTGAAAGCTGTTTTCCATTCGTCTCCCTGCTGAATTCTCACCAAGTTATAAGCTCCCCTCAAATCTAACTTGGTAAAAATCTTGGAGCCTTTCAGTCGATCAAAGAGCTCAGTAATTAAAGGAATAGGATAAGCATTTCTAACAGTTATCTTATTCAAGCCCCGATAATCAATGCAAGGCCGTAGAGTGCCGTCTTTTTTATCTACAAAAAAGAAACCGGCCCCGGCCAGAGAAGATGATCTCCTAATAAATCCTTTGTCTAGGTTTTCACGTATGTACTCCTCTAGGACTAAGTTTTCCTTAGTGGATAAAGGATATACCGTACCCCTCGGAGGCATAGTACCAGGTAGGAGTCTAATTTTACAGTCGAAAGACCTATGTGGAGGTAAAGTATCAGCCCTCTTTTTGTCAAAGACTGCCTTTAAATCCAGGTACTGCGACGGTATCTGTAAATCTGTAGGTTGGGAAGAGTTAACCGGGGCGTCAACCCTGCAAATCGGTGAGACTTTCTGCAAACATCCTCTCTGGCAACCCTGACCCCAGGAGACTATCTCACCCAGTTCCCAGTCAATGATAGGGTTATGCTTCTTAAGCCAGGGATACCCCAAGACTATAGGAACTGAAGGAGATGAGATCAGCATGAGGGATATTCTTTCCTCGTGAAGGATACCAGTGGTTAACTTAATTGGTATGGTTTCACGAAAAATAACAGGTTCAGATAATGGTCTACCATCTATGGCCTCAACGGCCAAGGGTGTATCCCTTAGCTGAGATGGGATAGAATGGTTAGTGACAAAGGCTTGGTCAATAAAGCTTTCAGCTGCTCCGGAATCTATCAAAGCCATAGCATTAAGTACTCCCTTTTCCCAAGCTAAAGAAACAGGTATCAGAAGCCTATGATCTTTATAATCATATATAGAGGACAAGATAGAAACACCCAAGGCCTGTCCTCTTGAGAAACTTAGGTGCGAGCGTTTCCCGGCCGGTTAGGGCAATTTAGGCGTAGGTGACCTCTAATTCCGCAATACATACAAAGACCCTCCCTTCTCCTGTACTGTCTTTCCTCTTCTGAGAGTCGAGTATTACCTATTTGCATAGGTTCTGGGAGAGCTAAAGTAGTAGAATCAGAAGTCTGAAATGAGGGAGCTAGTCTTATGGAGGATCTGCGGGTTCTATCCCGAATATTCTGCCTCTGTCTCATACGTTCATCTATTCGGGAAATAAATGAAATCAGATCCTCCAAATTTTCAGGAAGATCTCTTGTGGCCACCTCATCTAAAATCTCATCAGATAACCCGTTCATAAATACGTCCATATAAGCCTGTTCATTCCACTTGACTTCTGCCGCCAAGGATCTGAACTCTAAAGCATAATCCACTAGGGTTCGGTTATACTGTCTAAGACGTAACAGTAGTCTAGCTGCATTGGCCTTTCTTCCTGGGGGGGTCAAAAGCTCTCCTAAATGCAGCGACAAAAGCATTATAATTATAAACTAACGGGTTATCATTTTCCCACAGGGGGTTAGCCCATCTAAGTGCCTTGTCAATGAGCAAGGTAATTATAAATCCAACCTTCGCCCTGTCAGTAGGGTAGGCGTGGGGTTGTAACTCAAAATGGATACCTATCTGGTTTAAAAAGCCTCGACAAGTGTCAGGAGCGCCGCCATAGCGTGACGGGGACGTAACACGGGAAGAAGTAGCCACTGTGGCTACCTCTAGGCCTGTACTTATAGGAGAGATAGATGGGGTATGCCTCTCCTCTGAGTGATTACTAGGACGAGATAGCAATGCTTGCAGAGCTAGAGCCATCTGGTCCATTCTATGATCCATGGCCTCAAATCTAGAGTCAGGAGAACCGACCTGAGAGTTTGTACCTGCAGGATCCATTGGCCCTGTCGTAATGTCAGGATCGTGACAGGGATCCAACACGCAGAATACAAACAGGAGATAGGTACGTATACCGGACCTTAGAATGGCCGGACTAACGTAAGGAGAAAGCAAAGAATGGTCAGAGACAAGCCGAGGTCGAGGGAACGAGAGAGTAGGTAAGCGAGAGACAAGCCGAGTCAAAAGGACAAGAGAGGAAAGCAGGGTCAAAATACAAGCCGAGTCAGGAACCAAAAGACAATAGAGGTAATTGCACTGAGTGACCAGACTAGCTAGAAACACGACAGGGCAATGAATCATTCCACAGAACCCTTTTTTATACCTTGGCTCTTTAACTGTTGGCTCCGCCCCCAACGAGTCCTGATTCGTTGTTCGGCACTTAGTTGCCGTGATTGACGGGTCGGAACGTGATTGCCGTCATGACGTCGGCTACTGAGCGCCACGTCATAAAAGGAGGCGGAGCTATCGCGGCCGGCGTGTAAACGACCGGGAGGAGTGCAAGGATCGGGTGAGTCAGCCCCCCTGGGAGGATGGACGTCTAGGTGTCTAACCTCCTCCGAGGTAGACACCAAAGGTAACCTGACACTCACTAACCCACACTCACTCGCCAGCCCACACTCACAATTACTCAATCACCTGCCCACACTCACAATCACTCACTAACCCACACTCACTCGCCAGCCCACACTCACAATTACTCAGTCACCCACCCACACTCACAATTACTCAGTCACCTGCCCACACTCACGCACCAGCCCACACTCACTCACCAGCCCACACTCACAATTACTCAGTCACCCACCTACACTCACAATCACTCACTCACTAACCCACACTCACTCGCCAGCCCACACTCACAATTACTCAGTCACCCGCCCACACCTCACTCACTAACCCACACTCACCAGCCCTGAAAAAAAAAAGAGCACTGAAAAAGTGAGACCAGGGCCAGCCTTAGGGGTGTGCGCAGTGGTGGATCCACGGGGGGGGGGGCAACGGGGCAATTCCCCCCCCCCGAGATCCGATGCTCTCTCCTGCAGGGCCAGTGCTGTCCAAGCGCCGGCCCTGCTAAGTGCCTTCACGGACCGCAGGGGAGATCAGAGATCTCCCTCACCGGTCTGCAGGCATATTACTTGGCAGCCAGCAGGAAGGGAGGAGACCCGGGAGGAGCTCTAGCCTGCAGCTCCGCTGGGTCTCCTCTCGCGAGAACGGAGCGTTGCCGCGGTTACCTCGGCAACGCTCCATTCTTGCGAGAGTGATCTCTAGCCTCAGGAGGTGCAGGCTAGAGTTCACTCTCACCACTGGACCACCAGGGATTCCACCGGACCACCATGGATTACAAGCGATATCCTCCCTCCCTGGGCGAAGGTAGAAAGGGAGGGGGGATTATAAGTAATAGTTTATTAATTAAAAAAAAAAATTGTTTTACACTGCCCCCACAGCCCCCCAAACACACTGCCCCCACAGCCCCCACCATACACACTGCCCCCACAGCCCACCACATACACTGCCCCACCAAACACACTGCCTCCACAGTCCCCCATACACACTGCCCCACCTTGCACACTGCCCCACCTTGCACACTGCCCTCACAGCCCCACCAAACACACTGCCCACAGCCCCCATACATTGCCCCACCATACACACTGCCCCACAGCCTCCCCGCATACACACTGCCCCACCCCCCACAGCCCCCCACACACATGCCCCACCATACACACTGCCCCCACAGCCCCCCATACACACTGCACCCCCCAACACACACACACTTCTCCCACATACACACAGTGCTCCCCATACAAACACTGCACCCCACACACACTGTGTGTGCTCCCCCAACGCCAAACATTACACCCTCACACACTTCTCCCCACACACACACTACACCCCCATACACACAGTGCACCTCCACACAAGCACTGCACCCCCACACACACACTGCACCCCTATACACACACTTCCCCAAATGTACTCCAATACACACACTGCCCCCACTACACCTTCATACACACACTGGGCCCATACACACAGTGCTTCCACTGCACCCCACATATACACACTGCACTCTCATGCACACACTACACCCCTCACACAAACACACACTGCCCCTCCTACACACAGTGCTCCCACTGCACCCCTATACACACACTGGCCCACATGCACTGCCTCCCATACACACACACACACACTCTGCACCCCTCACACACTGTCTCCCATACCCACCCTGCATCCTTCACACACTTAGTGCCTCCCATATACACACACAGACACACTGCCTACTCTCACACACACACACTACTAGAGGCTCTATCCCCTACTACAGCCCCTATCCTGGCAGACCCCAGGTAAATTGTCAAACTGTTCTTAAACCATTTGACTATTTACTCTGGGAGGGCGCCACAGCACTACTGGCACCATAACCACTACAGAGAGCTGTAGTGGTTATTGTGCCTGGATTGTTTCTTTAAATAATAAAAAAATGAGTGCCCCTCCCTAGATAAGACTCTGGATCCGCCAGTGGGTGTGCGAGATGTGCGGAAAAGGGGAAGCAGTAACTGCTGCACAGTAAAGGGGAAGCAGGAAGGAGTCCCAACTTCTCCAACAACCAACTGCCTCCACTCCCCCTTCCTGCAAGAATGAAAAGAAGGAAGTGTGTGTATCTGCCTGCCTGTGTGTGTGTGTGTGTGTGTGACTGCCTGTGTGTGACTGTAACTGTGTGTGTCACTGTAGCTGTGCGTGTCGCTGTAGTTGTGCCTTTGTGTGTATGACTGTCTGCCTGACTGTGTGTGACTGTCTGCCTGACTGTGTGTGACTGTATGTGTGTGACTGTAGCTGTGCGTGTCGGTGTACCTTTGCGTGTCTGACTGTCTGCCTGTAACTGTTCATGATTGTGTTCACATAACTGTGTGTGTCTGACTGTCTGCTTGTAAATGTTTGTGTGACTGTCTGCCTGTGCCTGTGTGTGACTGTGTGTGTCACTGTAGCTTTGCGTGTCACTGTAGCTGTGCCTTTGTGTGTGACTGCCTGTGTGTGTCGCTGTAGCTGTGCCTTTGTGTGTGTGTCGCTGTAGCTGTGCATTCGTGTGTGACTGTCTGCCTACCTCTGTGTGTGTGACTGCCTGTGTGTGTCGCTGTAGCTGTGCCTTTGTGTGTGTGACTGTCTGCGTGCGACTGTCTGCGTGCGACTGTGTGCATGTAACTGTTCATGATTGTTTTCCCTTTAACTGTGTGTCTGACTGTCTGCTTGTAAATGTTTGTGTGACTGTCTGCCTGTACCTGTGTGTGACTGTATACAGGCAACTTGGGGGGAGAAAAGGGGAGGAGCGCAATGAAGACTTTTCACACAGGGCACCTAATGGCCTAAGGCCGTCCCTGTATAACTAAAAAAAATAATAATAATAATTAAACTTACCAAATCAAACTTGAAAGACGAATCAGAGTCTTCATTAAAAACCTAAATGAAAACACAAATGGATATTTATTGTTCAGATTTTGAAAGCACGACTAGCCTATACAATTAATTATTAGTAGAATAACTGTAGAACGATTAGTGAAGCAAATCCCAAATGTTGTCTTTTACATCCAAACATAAAAAAATTATGCAATACATTATTTACGCTTAACCAAGACTTCCTGTATTTTTTCTATTTGGTTTAAATTTAATTTAAACATACAAGGCAATAACACTGTCAATTTTTTTTTAGTTTTTTTTTTAGTTTTTTTACAGTGATCAATATTTTCTACAGCCATATATCATATATATCCATATAGTGAACATATGGTGGTTATAGTGATAACTGTAGCCCAATTAAATAATGAGCATAATCATATCACCATAAAAAAAAATTAAATGGCATATTTTGTTCAGGTTACAAAAAAAGCATTTAGTGAATATGCCCCTAAAATTACATACTAATTTAACTAAACATTAAAGTAGGAAAGAAATTACAGTATCAAAATAGATTAGAAAAAAAATAAACTATATATATATATATATATATATATATATATATATAAAGCATTTTATAATGAAAATAAATAACTACAATTTAAAAAATTTTAAACTAATAAATAAACATGAAAATAAATATAATGAACACAATTCAGTACAATATTATTATTATTAGAAAATAATTGTACTCACTATTTGAAGTTTCTGCCTGCTGTCTCCAGCCTCCTCTCTCCAGACACCACCTGTCTCCAGTCTCCAGTCTTCAATCTCTGCAATCTTCAGCCTTCGGGTCTCTGAAATCTTCATCTGTAATCTTTAGCCTTCGGGTCTCTGCAATCTTCATTGTCAGCACGATCCAGGAAGCTGTGTGTTTTTTTTTTTTATCTCCCACGCGGTGCTGACAGCCTCAGGACACAAAGCGCTTTCACAGTGCTCTGTGTGCTGATAGCACGTCTGAAGTATTCACTCATGCGTGAATACGTCAGACGTGAATGAAGCCCTTTTAGGGCTTTTGAACTCGGAAGTCCCTCTGGTGGCCTGATTGACTGCAACTAGAGGTGTTACAAGCTTCCTATGAAAATACAGTGCTTACAAGAAAAATGCTGCAGGGAGCTGTAGCACTCACCTGAACAACCTCATTAAGCTGAAGTTGTTCAGGTGACTCTAGTGTCCCTTTAAAAATTTGTGAAAGCAAAAAAAGAAAATGTCAGAATAAAAATCGAAAATTGAAAGAAAAAAAAAATAGCCAAAAAGAGTAGAGAAAACTGTTCTTACCAGTGGTTTCACATGTGAAGTGTATGTGTGGGGGACCCGATGTTGAGGACCCAGGTGGCTGCCAGATAGCAGACCAGTGATGGTCAAATAGGAGGTGTGGGACCCACATGAGAATCGGACCAGTATTGGTCAACGTACTTCACTGCATAGGGTAAAAAAGTACCGTATTTTCCGGCGTATAAGACGACTTTTTAACCCTGGAAAATCTTCTCCAAAGTCGGGGGTCGTCTTATACGCTGGGTATATGGCTGCCGGGGGCGCCCTGCGCCCCCATCGCCGGCCCTTCTAATGCTGCACCCGCCTGAGCGCTCTATAGAGAGCGCTCAGACGGCTGCCGCACTGCCTCTCTTACCTCCCCTTCCCTGTGCAGAGTGGGTGGCCGATCTCCTCTTCGTCCTGTCAGTCCGGCCGGGTACCGCGCGGTACAGGGGATTCAGTTCCTGTTCCCGGCCGGACTGAAAGGAAGTGAGCACTCACTGCTTTGAAACAGCTACCTTAAACCATCTTTTATGACAGGTCCTGATAGCTAGACCTTTTTTTCAATTTTTTTTATTAATGTTTTTTCCACAAAGTATGATATCCCCGTAACACAGGAAATAAAACATATAAACATATATAAACATATATGAAGTCTGATTGCAAGAGCAATTACGCCACCCCATGGCACAGATTGGTAATTGTGGTTATTGTGAATTGAATACATTTTCTCCCAATATATGATGATGATGCAAATATTTGGCAAGTTCTAAATGTAAAAAAAAAAAAAAAGTGGGGGCGTGTCCTAGCGGCAGACGAGGACGGACGCGTGAGTGCCGAGCTCCTCCGCTGTACGGTGTTCACAGCACAGACACGGCGTACACCCGACCGCAAAAATAATAAAAACTGCAGGTACACACTTGCCTTACACCATAGGCGCGGATGGCGGCGAAAACCTGCAAAAAGCTGAAGCAGAAAACGCTTCAAATGCACCTTACTTCGGCCACCATGCAGGAGATGGCGGGACAAGATGGCGCCGACGGCCCGAGCTCACCAGCCTCCGTTTCGGAAGTAAGAGACCCTGTTCACAGCATGGCTGACTCCTCTGCCCCAGTCACAACAGCCACTTTAAAATCCTTACTTGCAGACCTAAAATCCACCTTCCACACAGACCTCATGCAAATAGCTTCAGACATCAGGTCAGATATCCAACAAGTGGGGGACAGGACAGCAAAATTAGAAGAAAGGGCAGACGAAATAACAGACGCCCATAACACTCTGGCAGAAGCCTATACAGAGCTACAGGACAAGCTTAAAAGGCTAGAAGACAAAGTGGCCGACCATGAAGATAGAGATCGGCGTAATAATATCAGACTGAGAGGGGTTCCGGAATCGGTAACACCTCAAGAGCTGCAATCCTATGTACAGGACATTTTTAAAGCATATGTGCCAGAGTTAACAGAAGGAGAGCTTCTCCTAGATCGGACCCACAGATTGTCCAAACCAAAACATCTGGGCCCACAAACTCCCAGAGATGTAATCACTAAGATACACTACTTTACCACTAAAGAAAGAGTCATGCACGCAGCACGAAGGAACCCCCGCCAGGGCGCTTTAACCAAATAAAGCTATTTATAGATCTATCTGCATCGACTATGCTGAAGAGGAAAGCCTTTGCCCCCATCACTGCAGCACTACGAGAGGCAAATATCCAATACAAGTGGGGCTTCCCAACCAGACTTGTAATCAAACGCAACGGAACGGATTCCAGCATTGCATCTCCAGAAGAAGGAAGGAAGATGTTGCGAGCCTGGGACATTCCTTTCACTACCACAACGACTCCCACGCTACAACCTACCAAATCGCCAGTGAAATTGAATAGAGACTGGACTCAAGTGCCGCGTGGCCAGTCGCAAGAATCTCCATGACCTCTGCAGAGGGGCAATAAGTATCCTAATTTGATGTGCCTAATCTATGTTATACTGACACATTACTGTTTGATACGAAAAAAAAAAAAATAACTAAAAAAATACAAAACTAAAAAAAACAAAAACAAAGAAAAACCACCAGAAAAAAAAAAACCTGTATATATTCTAATCTTGTATGCCTTGTTTAGATACTAGCAAATGTAACACCGTACGGAGCATTGAATCCAATACGGGTCTCTTACTGTGCGTAGACCTAGTAATCTATCGCTGGTCACTTACCCCCCAAGGTGGCTTAATTGTGAGCCGCATCTTTAACCGTTTTCTAACTCTCGGTCGACTTCGCTCGACCAACGGTTTTATGTACATAATTTGCATGTTTTTTCTTATGTTTTTCTCCTCTCTTTTATGTTCATTTTTTGATGACTACAATTTTGGTATACCATCATGGCTTATTCTAACGATTCCAGGGATGCAAACGTCACCTCTCCATCCTGTCCATCCATGGGACCTGGGTATCAGGCCAAAACAAATATCCTATGTACTAGGTATAAGCTGGGTTGACCAACATATCTGCTGGCCCTTTGGCCCCTTTAAAACACCCACAGACCTTGAGGTGACCCATAGACTCACAGATGGGTGGCTTAATGACCCCATTCCTCCCTCCTGCGACATGAGACCACCGACCATACACCATGGTGCTTAATATATGTTCCCTGAATGCCAAGGGGCTAAATTCTCCACACAAGAGGCGCCTAGCGCTGAAGGAGGCTAAATCCCTAGATGCCCATGTGGCACTCTTTCAAGAAACGCATTTCAAATGGGGCCATCGTCCAAAATTTACTTCCACAGCGTACCCCATAGATTTTCATGCTTGCTATGCAAAAAAAAAGAGAGGAGTGTCCATCTTAATAAGCAAAGATGTAGCTTTCTCCTTAGTCCGCAAAATTGGAGACAAGAAAGGCAGATATATAGTACTACAATGCTATGTTAATAACAACCCATATACGTTTATTAATGTGTATAGTCCCAATGATCAACAAATTGATTTCTTGGAATTGGTTTTGATGCTGTGTGCAAAACATACCTTTGGAGAGGTGGTAGTGGGTGGGGATACCAATTTTCTGTTAGATGACTATCTAGATTCCTCACACCAGAAACCCCTACAGAACCAGACCATCAAAACCAGGCGGAATTTAATCACTCGCATTCGACACATCCTCACAGCACATGACTATGTAGATCCATGGCGAATACAACACCCTAGCGAAAGAGACTTTACATGCCACTCGGCAGCGCACAATTGCTATTCCAGGATAGATCGGTTTTTGGTTCCCTCAGCGATGCTCCCCAAAATAGAAAAAACCCACATCGGGCTCATCAGTTGGTCTGACCATGCCCCAGTTACTATGTCCCTGACAGAACAATTCCCGACTAAAGGCCGAGGCAGCTGGCGCTTAAATGA